ATAGTGATACCACCTCAGAAACCCAAGGAGGGGTTGCTGTGAGTCAGATCCAACTCCATGGCAGTGAGTTTGGTGTGGTAATTGTTTCGCTCTTTCCCCTGTCTCCACCTTTTTATAATTTGCCATTTTCTTTAAAAGGTGAATAACTGTAAGGGCACAGTATATACTTGACAATGCTGAATTTTACCTGAGCCCTGTGATCCTGGAAAAGAGTAAAGGCTCAGAAATCCCCCACTCTTTTCTGCTATGGAAAATGGCTCATGCAAAGAAATACCCTTCCTCCCATGACTTAGAGAAGTCTGTGGATGCCCCTTTGTTTCTCTATGACAAGGCCAGACACAGACCCTCCAAATTCCCATTCTTTACCTTACAAATTATTAGCTGAAGTTGAATCTCTTGTCCTCATTAATCATTTAGTACAAAATGCTTGTTGATCAAACTTTGGTTAGGTTTCTCTTCCTCCCAAGTTTCTGAACTTTTGGCTCACCTCAGCCTGAGCTGAGCTCTTCAGAAGAGACTCTGAATGGAGAGTAAGTAGATAAAGCAAATGGAAGAAATGAAAGATAAAAGAGCTGAACAGAAGACTTCAAAGAACAGCTCAAGCAGACAAAGTCAATTACTATAATGAAATGTGCAAAGATCTGGAGTTAGACAACCAAAATGGAAGAACATGCTTGGCATTTCTCAAGCTGAAAGAATTAAAGAAAAAAATTCAAGCTTCAAGTTGCAATATTGAAAGATTCTATGGGCAAAATATTAAATGATGCAGGAAACATCAAAAGAAGATGGAAGGAACACACAAAGTTAGTGTACCAAAAAGAATTAGTTGATATTCATCCATTTCGGGAGGGGGCATATTATCAAGAACCAATGATATTGAAGGAAGAAGTCAAAGCTGCACTGAAGGAATTAGCAAAGAACAAGGCTCTAGGAATTGACGGAATATCCATTGAGATGTGCCAACAAATGGATGCCACACTGGAGGCACTCACTCATCTATGCCAAAAAATTTGAAGACAGCTACCTCTCCAGCTTACTGGAAGAGATCCATATTTGTACCCATTCCAAAGAAAGGTGATCCCACAGAATGTGGAAATTATTGAACAGTATCATTAATATCACATGCAAGTAAGATCTTGCTGAAGATAATTCAAAAACAGTTGCAGCAGTATATTAACAGAGAACTTCCAGAAATGCAAGCTGGATTCAGAAGAGGATGTGGAATGAGGGGTATCATTGCTGATGTCAGATGGAACTTTGCTGAAAGCAAAGAATACCAGAAAGATGTTTACTTGTGTTTTATTGACTACATAAAGACATTTAATTGTGTGGATCATAACAAACTATGGATAACATTGAGAAGAATGAGAATTCCAGAACACTTAATTGTGCTCATGAGGAACCTGTACATAGACCAGGAGCCTGCCATTTGAACAGAACAAGGAGAAACTTTAAACTGCATGGTTTAAAATAAGGAAGAGAGTGTGTCAGGGTTGTATCCTTTCACCATATTTACTCAATATGTATGCTGAGCAAATAATCCAAGAAGCTGGACAATATGAAGAAGAACATGGCATCAGGATTGGAGGAAGAATCATTAACCTGAGATATGCAGACAACACAACTTTGCTTGCTGAAAATGAGGATGACTTGAAGCACTTACTGATGAAGATTAAAGACTACAGTCTGAAGTATGGATTACAGCTCAACAAAAAGGAAACAAAAGTCCTTACAACTGGAGCAATAAGTAGCATCATGATAAATGCAAAAAAAGATTGAAGTTGTCAAAGATTTCATATTACTTGTTTCCACAATTAACACCAGTGGAAGCAGCAGTCAAGAAATCAGATGTTGTATTGCACTGGGCAAATCTGCTGCAAAAGACCTCTTTAAAGTGCTGAAGAGCAAAAATGTCTCTTTGAAGATGAAGGTGTGCCTAACCCAAGCCATGGTATTTTCAATTGCCTCATATGTATGTGAAAGCTGGACAATGAATAAGGAAGACCAAACAAGAGTTGATGCTTTTGAGTTGTGGTGTTGGCAAAGAATACTGAAAGTACCATGGACCGCCAGAAGAACTAACAAATCTGTCCTGGAAGAAATGCAGCTGGAATGTTCCTTGGGAGTGTGCATGGCCAGACTTTGTCTGACCTACTTTGGTCATGTTGCCAGAAGAGACCATTTTCTAGAGAAGGTATCATGCTTGGTAAAGTGGAGAGTCAGAGAAAAAGGGGAAGGCCCTCAACAAGATGGATTGACAGAGTGGCTACAATGAGGAGGTCAGGTATTGTGAGGCTGGCACAGGAACAGGCAGTGTTTTGTTCTGTTGTACATAGGGTCACTATGAGTCAGAGCCAAACTGATGACACCTAACAACAACAACAACAACAGCCAGAGTGAATATATAACCCTCTCCTTAAAGGGCCCCACCTGGAGAGTAGGCTGACTTCAGCATGAAAGTTCTCTCATCTAATATCTGGTCACACCACCCTTTCATCCCACTTTCCGTCACCTGGTTTTTTCTAGCCTTGTTCATTCTTCTATAAAAGAAAAGCCTCTTTTGCCTAACTCTGGAGATGCTTGCTAGTCTTAGAGTCAGGGCTTTCTCCCTATTGGGAGCTCTGGTGGCGTAGTGCCTAAGGCATTTGACTACTAACCAGAAGCCTGGAGGTTCAAACCCACCAGCCACTCCTCATAAGGAAGACTGGGCAATCTACTTCTGTAGAGATACTGCTTCAGAAACTCAAGGAGGGGTCACTATGAGTCAAATCAACTCGAAGGCAGTGAGTTTTTTGTTTGCCTCCCTATTACCAAGTCCCCATCACATTAGTCCCTTGCCCCTTGCAATAACACTTTTGAATATACTCTCTCCTTACGAAGTATGGATTTGTCTTTTATTTGACATACTGTATATCTCTAGAAATTATTAAGGAGAACTTATTTCAATTCCCAGACTGGCTGAGATGAAAGATTGTAAAGGTGATATAAAGCTACAGTTTATAAACTCTAGTAAATGAACTAGTTGTCCTTCAGAATCGCGTGAAGTATGTTATAAATATATATAGTCCTGGGTCCTAGCCCCAGAGATTCTGATCAAGTAGGTCTAGGTAGGGCTGGGGGTCTGTATTTGCTTTGGTGGGTCCCCCTAGTAACTATTGTGCAGCTGGGTGTAGGGAGCACTAATCCAATCTCCGAGGCAGTCCCTCAGCCTTTCTGGTCTAAGTTGACTGCTTGATAAAGTGACTCGCCTAAAGCAACCAGCAGAATAATCGGCAGAGCTGTGACTAGAGCCTAGGTCTCCTGACTCTGATGGCAGTGCTCCTGAGCTTGCAGTTTGCTGCTTTGGTTCAGCCAGCACTCCATGCTCATTGGCATTCTGTCAAGATCTGTTCCTTAGTTCTGCCTTCCAAGACAATGGCAGTATTTGTAGTGAATACCAAAGCCAGGCAGAATCTGAAGGTTCTTAATCCTCAAGGGAAGATTAAATTATATTCAGTATACTTTGATGTTAAATTTTATTGTATTCTCTAGAGATGCCTATTATTACCCCCATCCCCTGGCTCAGAACAAATCCAAGTAGCAAGTCTTTGTTTTTCTCCTCTAGGCCCACTCAGCATTTTCTAACCCTACCTGATCATAACAAATTCATCTGGGTGTTAAAATTACAGAACTCTAGGGTCTGCTTGAGTCCTACTACTTCACAATCTTCCTGCAAGGAGCCTGAGGACCCATTTTTCAAGTTACAGATCACTATTCTCTGTAACCTTCTTTGCAGGCTCTGAGTATGTCTAAGCACAGCATCCCTTTCCCTGGGATCCTCTGACTTCTTTAAGACCCTAGTTCATAATTACACCATAATCCTGTTTTTCTATCTAAAGGATTATCCTGTGGTCTGTAAACTTGTCCTTGAAGTAGGAAAGAGGAAACACTTGCTTTCTTCTTACACCCTGGGTAGAATTTTACTGGCCAAGGTGGGTGTGTGGACAGGTTTGTTTGTATGGTAGTGCAATGAGAATTGAAGAAAAGGAAGGGTTGGCCTCTGGAACCAGAATAGAATACCTGGGCTATTTTCCCGGCTTTATTACCTCTGTAGCTGTGTAATGTTGGGCAAATTATGTAACTTCTTTAAGCTTTGTTTGTGTCTTCTTTAGTGAAACAAGGTAAGAAGTACTTTTTCAGGGTTTTGTGTGCATAAAACAAAATGTCTTAGACTTGCTTTCAGTCACAGACTCAGAGATAGATGAGTAGAGAAAACTGTCAGGAACAACTGTTTTGAAAGAGTGAGGGATACAGGATTAGGCAGAGATGAACTTGAACTGCAATTACGAGGGCCTCAGCTGATCCCAAGGGGAGCTCTGGAGCCAACGTACCCTTCAGAGTTATCCCAAAGCGAGGGAAGTGGACCAGGCCTTTATACCTCTATATCTGCCAGTCATTGGATGTGAACTGCTCTAGAAGAGCAGACATCACTTAGGTAAGGCAACTCCCTTTGTCTGAGTGCACTGTGAACATCAGCAGCCTGCAGTCCTGGCAGCTGGTGGAAGGAGTGACTCAATCCTGAAGAGGAACTCAGTGGCACGTTACAGCATCTAGTACACAAGGTAATGCACACAAAAATCTCAGCACTGAACCTAGCACATTAATAAGTGTCCAATACATATTAACTATTACTATTGTTATTGCAGTTCTGGAAATGCCACTCAGTAGCTAAATCACCTTCAGGAGGTTAACTTCTATTAGGCTATTTTCCTATGTTTAAAGTGGAAATCCTAAATTCTGCTCTGCCTTCTTCTCTGAGTAGTTCTGATAACATATGGAGATAATGTATGTGCAGTTGCTGAGTAAAATGTTATAAAGATGTAAGGTATGACTGTGAGCCTACTTTTCAGAAATGAATATATGGCCATGACTTGGATTCCTTAAGGGAAAGGGTTGTGATAAATGTAAAAGTGCTTGTCCATAAAATACGGCGTTTTGATTTTTCATTCTTTCCCACACAGGGAATTAGAATAATGGAGATGCTGCTAAAGGAACAGTGTGGTGCCCCTTTAGCCGAATAAAGAATCATCAGTAAGTACCAAAAGAAAAATCAGAATCATTTACTGGAGCCATGTTCTCCTACTTGTAAGCCTGGCATTATGTACTGGCCTCCCTGGGCTATTCATGCTGTACATTTCCCAGTTATATGCATGGCATACTGTTTCACAGATGTTTTGCTATCTGTTCAGTACCTTTATTTACTTGGTTCTTTGATTTTCAAAGCAGTTTTGCACTACTTGCTGGGTTACAGCTGCATTCAAATTGTTAAAACTGTTCAGCACAAACTTCTGGGATTGTGACCCTCAAGGTGGCATAGATTTGTAAAGACTGAAGCTCAGGATTAGCTAAAGCTTAATTTTACTGTTCTGAGAATAATAACAGGAGGATTTGAAGGGGCATGTTGATTGACTAGTGAAATAGATTTATTTTGTTGGTCATTCATACTCCCATTGATTAAGGGTAGCTGCTTGACTTACTATTAAGAAGGATCCCAAAGCCTTGAGAAGAATTTCCAGGCTTTGGGTGAGAGTAACTTGATTGATTAGCAATGTCTGCCATGGGCACAAGATGAAAGAAGGACAGTGATTGTGTTGGAGCACATGCCCCCTCTCAATAAAACCAAACTCACTGCTATCAAGTTGATTCCGACTCATAACAACTCCTTCGGGTTTCTGAGGTGGTAAATCTTTACGGAATTAGATTGTCCAGTCTTCCTTCCATGGAGAGTGGCTGGTGGGTTTGAACTACCAACCTTCTGGTTAGCCACCTCCGGCTTAGGGCAAATGGTGTAGAGTGAACAGGGAAATTGCAGAACTACTCAAATCCCTCCACTTGCCCTAAATTTCTATTGTCTACATGAATAAGAATGGTCTTCATATTGGCCAGAGCAGAACAAAGTCTTTTAAGAGAAGAGCAAAGCCCCAAATAAAAGTATAGTGAATTTTCTCCTGTGACTTCCAGCCAAACAAAAGACAGGCATGTGAGCTGAACATTTACATTAAAGATACACTCCTTGGACAGATCAATCATGGGAGAATAGAAGGGTTGTGTATGTACAGGCAAACAGCTCATGGGGCCGGAGTGCCTGGGAGGGAAGGAAACAGAGAAGAGGTAACTATAGGGAGGAAGTGGTAGGGGAACTGTTGCATTGTGGGAAATTGCAGTCAATGTCATGAGACAAAGTGTGTGTGAGCTGCTGTATGGAAAATGAATTTGCTCTGTAAACTTTCACCCAAATCACAATAAAAATAAAAAAAAAAAGTGCAAACTAAAAAAAAGTATAGTAAATTTGCATCTTACAAAAGTTATAGGACTTAGGTTTTTAGCATTTGAGAGAAGGTAGTCTTTGTGTAGAGCAAACACTGACCGGAATAGTTAAATGTTATTTCAGATTTACTTAAATCAAAACCAAACCCACTGCTGTCCAACTCACTTGTTTGTTGTTGTTGTTATGTGCTGTTGAGTCAGACCCGACTCATAGCAACCCCTCCTTGGGTTTCCGAGGCAGTATCACTACAGAAGTAGATTGCTCCATCTTCCTTCTGAGGAGGGGCTGGTGGGCTTGAACCGGCAGCCTTCTGGTTAGCAATCAAGTGCCTCAGGCACTATGCTACCGGAGCTCCCAAAGTGAGGGTAATTACAAAAAACTGAGACTGCCAAAACCTGGGATCGAACCAGGGACCTTTAGATCTTCAGTCTTACACACTCCCGACTGAGCTATTTCTAGCGACCGTAAAAGATGGAGTAGAACTGCCCTATAGTGTTTACAAGACTGTAAATCTTTATTGAAGCAAGCTGCCTCATTCTCCCACAGAGCAGCTGGTGGGTGTGGCCAAATGTTTCAACCACTATACTACTAGAGCTTCTTCAAATTTACATACATTGGCTTAAAAGTACAGTATGCATGGTTTTGTGTAAGCAACTGGGTATGCTAAGTGTGATGAACAATATTGAACAAAGAAGAATCAAAAGAAACATTTATATACAAGTTTCTTGACCTTGAAAACATGCTGGCCAGACCTGTGAGTGGGCAGTAGTTGAAGAGATGTACAGTGATCCTGCTTGTTTGCAGGTTTGCCTTTATTCTGACTAATATTATCGTTGCTGTCAAGTTGATTCTGACTCATGGTGACCCCATGTGTGTCAGAGTAGAATTATGATGCTCCACAGGGTTTTCAGTGGCTAATTGTTCCTAAGTAGATCATTAAGTCTGTCTTCCAAAGTGCCTCTGGTGGACTTTAACCTCCAACCTTAAAGTTAGCAGCCCAGTGCTACCCATTTGCCCTACCCAGGGATTAATATTAAGCCTCTGTAGAATTAACATATAAGGAGCTCTGGTGCATAGTGTGTAAGGCATTTGACCACAAACAAGAAGGTCAGCAGTTCAAACCCACTAGCTGTTCCATGGAAGGAAGATGGAGCAATCTACTTCCATAAAGATTTACAGCCTTGGAAACCCTATGATAGGATTGCTATGAATTAGAATTGACTTGATGGGCATGGGTTTGGTTTTTGGGTTAAACTTGACATATACTTAAGTATACATCAAACATAACAAATACTTAAGTGTTTGTTTTGAGGCACTTACTGATGAAGATTGAAGAATACAGTCTGCAGTATGGATTACATCTAAATATAAAGAAAACAAAAATCCTCACAACTGGACCAATAAGCAGCATTGCAATAAATGGAGAAAAGATTGAAGTTGTCAAAGACTTCACATTGCTTAGTTCTACAATTGATGCCAATGGAAGCAGCAGTCAGGACGTTAGACAATGTATAGCACTGGGCAAGTTGGCTGCAAGGGACCTCTTTCAAATGCTGAGGAGCAAGGATGTCTGCTTGAGGACTAAGGTGCGCCTGACATAAGTCATGATATTTTCAATCTCCTCGTGTGTGTGTGAGGGCTGGACAGTGAATAAGGAAGACCGAAGAGGAATTGAGGCTTTTGAATTGTGCTGGTGAAGAATTCTGAAAGTACCATGGACTGCTAAAAGAACTAACAGATCTGTCCTGGAGAAAGTGCAGTCGGAATGCTCCTTGGAAGTGAGAATTACTAGACTTCGTCTCACCTACTTTGGTCATGTTGTCAGAAGGGACCATTCCCTGGAGAAGGATGTCATGCTTGGTGAGGTGGAGGGCTGACAAAAGAGGGGAAGGCCCTCAACGAGGTGGATTGACACGGTGGCGGTGGCAATGGGCTCAAGTGTAGCAAGAATCGTGGAGCTGGCTCAGGACCGGGCAGTGTTTCATTCTGCTGTGCATAGGGTTGCTATGAGTCAGACATGATGGCACCTAACAACAACAACAACAACAACAACATTTGTTACTGGGAAGGTGTAGCAAGATAATTTCATTCAACACACGCTTGGCAAATGCAGGAACTCACAGAATGTTTGTTGGAATTGGATCTAAATATGCTTTGCTTCTATATCCGTTCTATTCTTTGGAACGTTGCAGAGAACTTGATCACATCTCCCTATTTTTCCAGGCTGGTGTTTTTGTTATTGTTTATTTGTTTGTGAGGATCATTTAAAAAAAAAACACAAAAAACAGTTGCCATAGAGTCAATTCCAATTCATGGCAACCCTGTGTGTTTCAGACTAGAAGTGTGCTCTGTAGGGTTTTCAAGGCTGTGACCTTTCCACGGCAGATTGCTAAACCCTTTCTGAAGTGCCCCTGCATGAGTTTGAACCACCAAGCTTATTAAGCACCTCTTAATGCTTGTGTCCTTACACACAAATCACACTTTACTCTGGGGAGTGGGGTCTAAAGTCAATTCTGAGTTTAAAGCAAGAGTGAGGGGATCCATTTACATGGGAAAGGTGTATAGTTGGTGGTTTTCAATCTTTTCATCAGTGTTTTTTGTCAGAATCACCTGGAAGCCTTTTTAAGCAGATTGCAGGGTTCTACCCCCAGAGTGCCTTATTTGGCAGGTCTGGGTGAGGCCTATAATATGCCTCTTCAACAAGCTGCCAGGTGATGCTGATAATACTTTGAAAATAAGTCCTAAGTGAGTTCACATTTATGGCCTGACATAGATTAAATGCTAGGGTACAGAGAAAGCAAATAAGTGAGTTTTTGAAATCTTTGCCATGAATTTGGTCAATTATAGATTAATCAGAGGAATGCTTTTCCTTGTATGGCTTTTCACTGATTTTCAGCCTCTTACCTTAATGTTGATAGGCTTCAAACTGGAGCAAGAGAGCTAAAAAACAAAATACACTCACTATAAATGAGTTTTAAATCATTTTTGATTTAAAGTCTTGCTAGTAAAGATGCAAAAATGAATCACTTTAAACAAGTTTACAATATTAAATATGGTCTTAAATTACCCTTTCTTCTTTTCTTTCTCTCTTTTGCTGTAGTTGAGGACTAAGCCATAAACTCAGGGCTCAGGGTATTGCTTATATATTTTATGTGTGGAGTTTAAAGAGCTGTGGTGGCACAGTGTCTAAAGCACTTGACTGCTAACCAGAAGGTTGGTGGTTCAAACCCCCCAGCCACTCCCTGGAAGGAAGACTGGGCAACCTACTTCTGTAAAGTTTTACCACCTCAGAAACCCAAAGGGGGTCGCTGTGAGTCGGACTTGACTTGATGGCAGTGAGCGAGTGTGAGTGAGTGTGTGTGTGTGTGTGTGTAGTAGTTTAGTGCCAGGCATTTCCATTTCATGCATTAATGCAATGTAGTTCTTAAAGGATTTACATTATTCAAACTCTTATAATTCATAACCCGTTTTCTCAGAGGAGCACATGTAAAATAGAGGGTATATACTTTTACCAAATTAATCTGAAATTACTGTAAATTAGAGGATAATTGTTGGGGCTTTAAGTTTTTTTCAAATCAGCTTCTTTGAGGTATTAAACCAAAATCAAACCAAACCAAACCTGTTGCTGTCAAGTTGATTCTGACTCATAACAACCCTGTAGGACAGAATGGAACTGCCTCATAGGATTTTCAAGGCTGCACGTCTTTACAAAAGCTAACTGGCACATCTTCCTCATGCAGAGTGGCTGGTGGG